GGGAAAATGTATAATCGCATTGTTTTTTTGTTTTTTTTTATCCTGACACTCTTTCATCAAAGTGGGGCCAAGAGGCACAAGGGGACTGAAGGAGGAGGCACACACACTGTAAAACATGACAAAATATTTATTTGAGCAAGTATTTTTTTATCGCTTCTTGCAGTGCAGATATTTATTATAAAATGTATCTGATGACATAGAGTAGTACCTGATCTATGGTTGAATTAATGCAGGAAACATTATTTAATGGTACCTTACAATACTTCATTCAGAGCGAAAATGAAATCAAGGCATTATCAAGGCATTATTCAGAAAATATTTAAATAAATTAAACAGCGGGGACAGACAATTTCATGCATCACAGAAGATGTTTCAACGAGAAAAACCAAGCGGAAACATGGGCCAGTGACTGACAGCTGTTTCTCTGACGTCAGTGGGAGAACGAACTAAACCAGTTCAGAAACACATAAGTAATGTGAAAAGATAAGTGTTCCATCTGTCTGGAACTCACACACTGATCCTTCTGACATCAGTTACAGCATTGACACGTACAGGTCATGGAGAATACATGACAGTGTTTACACATTTAACCTGTTGTATCCCGGTCACCAGCTAAGTGATGTCGCACTTGTCCCCACTGATGCTACGAGTGAACAGGCCGTCCAGGGCAGGTGAGGCGGGGGAGGGGGGGCTGTTCGACATCTCTCCATCCCCCTGGCCGCTGTGCTACCTGCCTGCTAAGCCATGATGTGATTAATTAGTGTGAGATAATGACTTTTTTTGTGCCGGAACAAACGTCCACGGCGGCTTGGTCAGGTCAATAGCCGCTGACCTGACGTTCGCCTTACACGAGCTTGTCGGCTTGATTTTTTTTTTCTCTCTGGGGTAAGTTTTCAAGTATGATCAATGTGTTATTTATTTTATTTCTTTATGGATAGCTCCAGTGAGACGAGGAATCTCTTTCTCAAGGGAGTCCTTTGATAGCCATAAGGATGGCTGCATGCAACAATACAAAACAATACAAAACAAACACAATTACATACAGTAAACAGACACACACCAGTTGTAATACACATGTCATCAAGTTTTTGAGCTATTACCAGATACTATAATTCACACTATAATTGAGTCTGAGGACCTCTGTTGAAGCAAAAAAAATATATATAAGTCCTTTATTAAAAATGGACAGCCAGTATATATTTTATATATTTTTAACTTCAACAAAGTGGCTCAGACTCCTTTATTTGACCTCTCGATCACCACACAACGATCGAACATTGTCGAGTCAAAAACATCCTGTATCTGCTGAGATTGTCCTGTCTTTGAAGAGCACCTGTTTGTCAAGCCTTCTTCCAAGTACCACTGTAAGTACCTCTGTAAGTACCACAATAAGTTGAGAGAGGGACAAACCGCCAAAAAGACCTAGAAGTACCACTGTAAGTACCTCTGTAAGTACCACAATAAGCAGTGTTGGGCACGTTATTTTGAAAAAGTAATTAGTTATAGTTACTAGTTACTTCTCCCAAAAAGTAACTGAGTTACTAACGGAGTTACTCCACTATAAAAGTAACTAGTTACCAGTAAAAGTAACTATTGCGTTACTTTTTCGTTTTGTTCTGGAACATAATGTGCACCCGACGTGCGCATTTTTACCTTTAACAGTGCCAATATTTCCATCTAGAAAAGTCTGTTTTGCTGCTGAAGTCCTGTTCACTCTTCATCTCTCTCTGTGCTGTAAAGCCCGCCACTGTGAATGTGGAAACACCGGTGAAGCACTGACTTCAGTCCAATCAGATGAACATATATATCATATAAATCAAGTGGACAATTTGTTTGGCTACAGCAAAATATGTTTTATGCCCGCATTGTTTGTTCATACAAAACGCAAAACTATGAGTTATGGGTCTTACCTTATAGCTATACCTTATAAATGACCTGCACAGTCCACTTCGGTTCAGACCAGTTCCTTGTTTAAATCCAGTGAATGGTTTGAGCGTAGATATGTAATCCTCCATTTGGAAATGAGTCCAATGAGTTTTAAAAAGTAAAACAAAACGCGTGTGTCCTCCGTAAACTCCTCTGTTTTGCTGCAGCCGGCTGCATCCAATTTCTAAAATCAACAGTCTTACACTTCACCTCTCTTTCTTATCATTCCTATAGTAATTGAAAAATTACCCTATGTGCATTTTAGATTATGTAAAAATGTGTTATATGTATGTTAGCCAAACCTGTTGCTGTCCTTAGCAGATAAACCAGGAAGAGCAAGGAGCTTATCGATGGAATTGTATGCAGCCGACTTCTGCGCTCACATGCGCTCCTCTGTGGCTGACCTCACGGTGATACAAGCCGTGGTTGAGCGCGATTAAGACCCATATTTGTTTCAAAAACACAATTTATGAGCCATCCTCTCAACTGTAGACATGTAGATTGTAAAGGAAATATGATTTACATCAGCCAATAATTGCTGAGAGGTTTTCTCATCCTCCCTTCTCTCATGACAACACGTTCATTGTGCGTCTTGAGTAACGCGCAGTAACGGGATGTCGGAAATGATAACGGCGTTATAGTTACTGTCAAAGTAATTAGTTAGATTACTCGTTACTGAAAAAAGTAACGGCGTTAGTAACGCCGTTACTAGTAACGCCGTTATTCCCATCACTGACAATAAGTACCTAGAAGTACCACTGTAAGTACCTCTGTAAGTACCACAATAAGTACCTAGAAGTACCACTGTAAGTACCATGGACTTACCGGCCCGTAATGTAAAGTGTTACCGTGCAATTATAGCCCAGAGTTTCTTATTTTATTTTATTTTATTTTATCTTCAATTTATTGTCTATTATCTTAAATAATAGACTTTGATGTGTGCAATCTGAGTGCTCTTATTTCCTTTCTCTGCTGTAATGTGCAACGATGACACTGAAATTTCTCCACTGTGAGACTAATAAAGGTTTATCTTATCTTATCTTATCAGGCTCAGGGCCTGGCCCCCCCGGTGGGTTTCAGGTCGCACTCCACGCGTGGGGTGGCGGCCTCTACGGCCCTCCTCAGGGGGGCTTCGGTCGAGGATGTGTGCCGTGCGGCTTCTTGGGCGTCGTCCGGTCTTACCTTTTGGATGTGTTGGACCGGTCGGTGGCCCATTCCGTGCTTAGTGCAGCGGACTGAGTTGAAACCTTATGTTCCCCCTCTTAGGGGCCGACGGTTGTCTTTCCGCCCTGGTTCAGGAGCTCTTGGGAGTGGCGTCCTGCAGGTGCGATGTATGTGTGTGCTTTGGTCAGTCAAGTAGTCCACGTCAGGAGCCTTTGGGAGAGGCGTCCTGTGACTACGGATGACCTGTATCTGTGTTACGTGGGGGTATCCTTGGGAGGAGTGGCCCTGTAACACGCAGTTGCTTCTTCTGCCCTGAGTCCTCTCACTTTGTGAGTATCTTGCTCGGGCAGAGCTCCAATCACTCTTCGCTGGCCTGTTGGGAGTACATGTTCCTACGGCCTCAGCGTTGTGTCCCACTAGCGAAGTCCGCTAAGGGACGTAGCACCATGACGTAGAATTAATAGTTACCTAATTTCTACGAACCTAATTTCGTAGAAAAGTTGCCTAATTTCTAAGTTCTACAAATAGGTGCGTAGTCCCTTCGCTACGAGCCCATCAGGCCAGCCCGGCTTGGCAGAGTTCAAGAGGGGGCGCGGCTATGGAGCAGGGGCATTTATAGAGGAGGGTCGCTATTGATTGGAGCATTTTTTGTATGATCTCTCTGGCGTCTGTGACCTGGGGGTCACGTGATATCCCACTAGCGAAGTCTGCTAAGGGACCACGCACCTATTCGTAGAATACATTAGGTAACTATTAATTTTGTAACCTGGCAAGAGCCAGATTGATGATTGTTTAGAACTTTAATGCGTTCTCCACAATATCAATCTGGGACTTCTGCAGGAGAATCCTTTCGAGGAAAGGAAGGATAAGCAGCAGAATACTGTACTTCAAGCTGATTGGGCGAAGGGACGCTGTGTGCCCGCCTACTAAAAATGTACAAACATCTTTGCCGTCCAGAAATGCACAAAGCGCCTCTCGCTGTTCATCTTTCAAAAAAGAAATTGGAGATTCTGCTAAAACTGACTTGATAGCCTCAGCTACGCGTCCGTCCTGCTGCGTAGCCATGTTTGTTTTGCTTCGGCCCGGCACTTCTTGCTTTCGTCAAACCCGGATATCCCGCCCTAAACCCCCAGACTGACGCGTGATTGGCTTGAACACCTAGATGTTCTACTCGAAAAGGGTTGGCGGGAGCGGGGCAAGATGTATTCTCGAGTGTTTGTGAACTCACAAATACCGCGAGAATTCAGCTTGCAGGCAAGGTTACATGTTTTGGGTGGTTCAAGAAACCGGAGTGCCTGGAGGGAACCCACCCAGACATAGAGAGAAACATAAAAATCCACAACTTTCTTGCTGTGAAGCATGACTGCGACCCACCCAAGTCACCGAGCCGCCAAATGCCATAGGACAAGAAAGGAGACAGTTTTGAATGACAGCTTCAGCCAACACCTTCACCAGTTCTTTTGTTATCGAGCTGCTCTTCTCTGGAAACAGCACATGCGCAGTATGGTCGCTACATGAACTAGACTAAAATGTCGTCAGCGAGCTTCAAAGAAGTTCAGAAGTTAAAACAAAACAAATACTCTGACACTGTGAGGGTGAAAAATTACATTTTGGTTTGTTTATGAAAAGGAAAACATAGATCTATTGTCACTAAAAGAGACTTTTGTACACCTTTGGGCCATGTCCACTGACAATAGAAACAGCAACAGAGAAATCAGATTCAGCGCTGGGAAACCATTGCTATATTCATATATTTTTATATTTATATACAAGGCACCAAAGCAATGCTATTCACACAGCCCTCTGCTCCCGGCCTTTCACTGCTGCCCTCAATAATAAGAATGGTCCTGCTCCACGCTGCTGTTGTAGATGAGTTGTGATTCTTTGTGACAGGATGAGACAGGAGCGATTCAGCTGCAGATTGGTGAGGGGAAGGGGATTTCAGCTGCCATGGCGACATTGATGGAAAGGAGGATCGATGTCCAGTTTTGATTGTAGCTGAAGATAAACACCTCACATGGTTCACGCTCCTTTAACTATGTGCACACAGGAAATGTCAGGCACAGCTCCCAGGGGAGACTCCACTTTTAACTTTTGAAATGGAAAACTTGACATAACATAACTTCTGCAGGATTTGCAGTTATATTTGGTAGTTATATTGAAGGAATATGGATGATTGCTGATGAATTATATGTTTTCATTTTGAACACACTCTTAAGGGGGCGACAGTAGCTCAGTTGGTAGAGCATTGGCCTTTGAGCCTGAAGGTCGTGGGTTCGAGCCCACCATAAGACCTACTTCACGACTCCCACTGATGACTGCTGTCGTTGTGTCCTTGGGCAAGACACTTAACCCTACTTTGCCCAAATCCCCCACTGAAAGATCTCAGCTCCTGTGGACTCACCACCTGCAGGAGGATCAGTGAGGGGCTGGTGCTGAGTGTACTGGGTGCAGCTCTGACCGCCACCCCCCCCGACCCAGAAATGGATTAAGGGGAAGAAAATGGATGGATGGATGGACACACTCTTAAGGACCGTTACATTTGTGTAGTTGTCCCAACCCTTACATACACCACATAATGAAGTAAACAATAATGGAACTAAAGTGAACAGTCCGACTGGACGACTGTTATCTCCATGGTGATTATCCCACCTGCCTCGCATGCTTGATTCTTCCTTCTGTGTCATGTGTGTGTGAGATCATCACCAATCTGCTTGGATGGCACAGTTACACACCTGCACTCATCAGCATCTGCTTCATGACTCACAGTCTCTGCATCAAGCTGCTGTTCATGCTAAAACTGACCTCCTCCCATCACTACCGAATTGTCAAGAAACCATATCATTGGCTCCCCTGCACACATCATGCAATACTTCGCAATATTTGAACAATGTTGAATAGCACAGCACAGTTGAAAATATCCTCATTCTATATAAGAAAAACACACGACCGGCCAGAACCACGTGTTTGAAAACAGAGGCTCTGTGTTGGATTCAGGACTTAGTGCAGAGTAAGATGCTGTTGTGGATGCTGCACTCTCGCACTCCTGCAGTTCATTGGACTTTCGTATTGTGTACAAGTTGTTCATGAATAGAAGTCCCTTCTGTACTTTGCAATGTAATATCTTATCTCAGACTGCAATTTTAAACTTCCAATCAGTTGATAAACAATCTATTTCAGTTTTTTTTTTTAAACAGGCACACATTTCTCACTCATTTTTTATTCTTTTTGCAATTTCTACTCAGGAAATCTATGAACAGTTGAACATTCATTATTGATATTTTTCAACTGACCGTAACATTTTCATCAGGAAAATATTATTATATTTCACTCCTAGTTGAATCCCCTTATTCCTTTTACATTTATCTTTAAAAAAAGCCAAGCAATGAAGTAAAGATGGGTAACTTTGATAATGTTTCTTTCCTTGACACTTTTGTCATTCTTTGATAATAATAATCAATTTTACAGGCAGGTTCCATGAATACAGTATAATGAATTGCATCAATTTATTAAATCAGTTTAAGGGGTAAAGGTTGCCTATACTTGCGAGCCTGTGCATATGTCGACAATATTACCATCCATTAGACATCCTTAACCGAGAACATACATTCCACTGATTAAAGCATGATTTATTTAATTACCAGCTCTATGTACTTGCTTTCTGAAAAGATTGTACATTATATATTGATGTTGCTTATTATTTCAGAATAGAAAAGAGATTAATATGTATGCAAACATTTTGAAGGCCATGTTAAACAAACAGCAATTCAGAAATGATTAGTAACAGCAGAAGATGTCAAGTAACTTCTTCAGATAAACTCCACACACAAATCTTAGGGCATTTTTTGAGAAACTTGACCGTGGTGAAGGTGGGCAGCATTGTTTTGGCTAGGGCCTTTCTCTCCCCTCAGCCGCTATAACTTTGGATTGACCTTTTGTTTAGTTTCAACCTGGAGAGACTACAAGAGACGAGATGCGTTTAAGAGTTGTTTATTTTATGGATTGAGTTTGTTTATTGGTTTGGAGCTTAGGCCCCGGCTGTGGCCATGCTCTGAAGAGATCTGCGCCTGGGTGCAGATCATGATCCCCAAAAAGAGAGCTTGGCTAGCGATGCGTTTGCCACGACTTGGTTGCTGCGTTTATGGAAGGCGCATGGTGTGAGTGACTGTTTCCGTGCGCGAGCTCGGCTCTAGCGCTAGGCGTTGGCACGCGCACGAGCTCGGCTCGAGTGCGCGGCGTAATGTCCGTGCGCGAGCTCGGCTCTAGCGCTAGGCGTTGGCACGCGCACGAGCTCGGCTCGAGTGCGCGGCGTAATGTACGGGCGCGAGCTTGGCTCTAGCGCTAGGCGTTGGCACGCGCACGAGCTCGGCTCGAGTGCGCGGCGTAATGTCCGTGCGCGAGCTCGGCTCTAGCGCTAGGCGTTGGCACGCGCACGAGCTCGGCTCGAGTGCGCGGCGTAATGTCCGTGCGCGAGCTCGGCTCTAGCGCTAGGCGTTGGCACACGCACGAGCTCGGCTCGAGTGCGCGGCGTAATGTCCGTGCGCGAGCTCGGCTCTAGCGCTAGGCGTTGGCACGCGCACGAGCTCGGCTCGAGTGCGCGGCATGCTGGAATGAGGAGTTGCCACCACCAGGAGATGCATACGTACTTATGAGAGGAGGCGCTGGGCTGCCAGAACGGAAGAATGTTGTAGAGAACCGGGGACCGAGCTCCTGGAGAGATGATTGAGGGAGTCCCAGGGCAGCAGTCCAAGTGGCTGCTCCTATCCGGAAGGAGTGGCAGATGTAGAGAAAGGAAGAGAGGTTACATGCAGGGAGCGCAGGTTTTGAATTTGTTCAGACCAGGGGGTCGTCAAGGGATTGTTTAAAGAGTAATTATAGTCATTTTATGAATGTTGATAAAATGTCCATACATGTTGTAGAATGTAAAGTATCCTGGATCATCACCACGGGCCTTCTAGTTGGACACTAACTGTCCAGACCCTCCTGCATGGCAAGGAAAACTCACAAAACCCTGTGGGGAAAAAAGTGAGAAACCTTCGGAAGACCCTACATGAGAGAGGGATCCACTCCACGGACAAACAGGCTAGTCGTCCAGGACCTAAACTACAGAACAAGGACCATGCCAATACTCCTTTAAGGATCTTCTTATGATGGTGGAGCAGTGTGACTCGAAGTGGATTTTAGAGAATGTATTTAATGCCGATGTAGATGAGGCAGTGACAGCAGTACCCGCGATGCTGATGTCCAGAGACTGAGAGTGTGCAGTGAGAGGGAAAGGAGAATGCTGAATGAAAGATGAACTGCTGGTGTTTAGAGCGCTGATATTCGAACATGATTCCACTTGGGGAGACTAGAAGGTGAAAATGAGATTCATGAAGTACACTTACCCAGGAAGATTGATGTTCAATAGGAGATCTCTGGACCCCCAAAAACCAACGCACAAGGGCCCGGTCAGAATGAGGGCCAGGGTGCGTCAGGTAAGGCGAAGCGTGAGACAGGCCCGGCGGCAGGAGCCACACCAGGAGACCAGGAGAGAATATGCCTGGGGAACATGAGAAGGAGCACCGCCTACGCCACTCAGAGTGCACGCAACCGTGGCGGGCAGTGCTGCCCACCAAAAGCCAATGAGTGCGGCCTGGGGAAGATAGTCGGCCAGGTTTGAAGGCCACGCCGAACAGTACTCATGTAGTCTTAGCAGGCCAGCGTTGCAGCAGGCCACCGTCGCGGCGTCGTAGCAGAGCTTTCGTGCGGCGTTGCGGCATCACGTTCCTGCGAAGCTGAAAAGAGAAACCTCGAACCACTATCACTCGAGTGAAAAGGACCAACGGGCAGTGTCAGACCACGTCTTCAGTCAGACCACGTTTTCAGTCAGACCACGTCTTCAGTCAGACCACGTCTTCAGTCAGACCACGTCTTCAGTCAGACCACGTCTTCAGTCAGACCACGTCTTCAGTCAGACCACTGACCTGATCCTTCGATGCCGGCTCTTCCAGTCATTGTGAAGCAGAACTCTCCAAGCGTTGGATTGTTCACCCACCAATAGGGAACGCGTGTCCATGGTCGACACTGGTCCCACGATGAATGGATGAGAGCACGCGAATGCGTCGAAGCGTGGCGTCGAGAATGCGGCACGAGGCAGACACCGACGTGGCGTCAAACAGCGGCCACCGGCGTAGAAGCGTGCACCGACCGACGTACGGCGATGAAGCGTGCGGCCGCCGACGTGCTGCGATGAAGCGTGCGGCCGCCGACGTGCTGCGATGAAGCGTGCGGCCGCCGACGAGCTGCGATGAAGCGTGCGGCCGCCGACGAGCTGCGATGAAGCGTGCGGCCGGCGACGAGCTGCGATGAAGCGTGCGGCCGGCGACGAGCTGCGATGAAGCGTGCGGCCGGCGACGAGCTGCGATGAAGCGTGCGGCCGGCGACGAGCTGCGATGAAGCGTGCGGCCGCCGATGAGCTGCGATGAAGCGTGCGGCCGCCAGCGTGCGCCGGCGTCGAGGCGTGCGCCGTTGTCGAGGCGTGGAGGAGGAGTCGAAGCGTGGAGGAGGAGTCAAAGCGTGGACGAGGAGTCGAAGCGTGCGGCCACCGACGTGGCGTCGTCGAAGCGTGCGGCCACCAACGTAGCGTCGTCGAAGCGTGCGGCCACCCACGTCGCGTCGTCGAAGCGTGGGGCCACCCACGTCGCGTCGTCGAAGCGTGGGGCCACCCACGTCGCGTCGTCGAAGCGTGGGGCCACCCACGTCGCGTCGTCGAAGCGTGGGGCCACCCACGTGGCGTCACCCACGTGGCGTCGTCGAAGCGTGGGGCCACCCACGTGGCGTCGAAGCGTGGGGCCACCCACGTGGCGTCGTTGAAGCGTGAGGCCACCCACGTGGCGTCGTCGAAGCGTGGGGCCACCCACGTGGCGTCGTCGAAGCGCGGGGCCACCCACGTGGCGTCGTCGAAGCGTGGGGCCACCCACGTGGCGTCGTCGAAGCGTGGGGCCACCCACGTGGCGTCGTCGAAGCGTGGGGCCACCCACGTGGGGCCGTTGAAGCGTGGCGTCGAAGCGTGGCGTCGAAGCGTGGCGTCGAAGCGTGGCGTCGAAGCGTGGCGTCGAAGCGTGGCGTCGTCGAAGCGTGGGGCCACCCACGTGGGGCCGTCGAAGCGTGGCGTCGTCAAAGTGTGGGGCCGTCGAAGCGTGGCGTCGTCGAAGCGTGGAGTCGTCGAAGCGTGGGGCCGTCGAAGCGTGGTGGCGTCGAAGCGTGGTGGCGTTAGAAGCGTTCTACCGGCGTAGAAGCGTGCACCGACCGACGTACGGCGATGAAGCGTGCGGCCGCCGACGTGCTGCGATGAAGCGTGCGGCCGCCGACGTGCTGCGATGAAGCGTGCGGCCGCCGACGAGCTGCGATGAAGCGTGCGGCCGCCGACGAGCTGCGATGAAGCGTGCGGCCGCCGACGAGCTGCGATGAAGCGTGCGGCCGCCGACGAGCTGCGATGAAGCGTGCGGCCGGCGACGAGCTGCGATGAAGCGTGCGGCCGGCGACGAGCTGCGATGAAGCGTGCGGCCGGCGACGAGCTGCGATGAAGCGTGCGGCCGCCGATGAGCTGCGATGAAGCGTGCGGCCGCCAGCGTGCGCCGGCGTCGAGGCGTGCGCCGTTGTCGAGGCGTGGAGGAGGAGTCGAAGCGTGGAGGAGGAGTCAAAGCGTGGACGAGGAGTCGAAGCGTGCGGCCACCGACGTGGCGTCGTCGAAGCGTGCGGCCACCGACGTAGCGTCGTCGAAGCGTGCGGCCACCCACGTCGCGTCGTCGAAGCGTGGGGCCACCCACGTCGCGTCGTCGAAGCGTGGGGCCACCCACGTCGCGTCGTCGAAGCGTGGGGCCACCCACGTCGCGTCGTCGAAGCGTGGGGCCACCCACGTGGCGTCACCCACGTGGCGTCGTCGAAGCGTGGGGCCACCCACGTGGCGTCGAAGCGTGGGGCCACCCACGTGGCGTCGTTGAAGCGTGAGGCCACCCACGTGGCGTCGTCGAAGCGTGGGGCCACCCACGTGGCGTCGTCGAAGCGCGGGGCCACCCACGTGGCGTCGTCGAAGCGTGGGGCCACCCACGTGGCGTCGTCGAAGCGTGGGGCCACCCACGTGGCGTCGTCGAAGCGTGGGGCCACCCACGTGGGGCCGTTGAAGCGTGGCGTCGAAGCGTGGCGTCGAAGCGTGGCGTTGAAGCGTGGCGTCGTCGAAGCGTGGGGCCACCCACGTGGGGCCGTCGAAGCGTGGCGTCGTCAAAGTGTGGGGCCGTCGAAGCGTGGCGTCGTCGAAGCGTGGAGTCGTCGAAGCGTGGGGCCGTCGAAGCGTGGTGGCGTCGAAGCGTGGTGGCGTTGAAGTGTGGCGTTGAAGTGTGGCGTAAGGCCAAAGCAATGGGCAAACAAACAGCACAGAGGGGCTCGGCCGCGCTCCGACCAATCAGAGCAGCTCATCAGACACGGACAGCCCGGAAGCAATGCAGTGGGCAAAACTAAAGCCCAACGCACACCGAAACGCCTTGACGCGCGGCAAAAGAGCCGCCTCCTTTATTTTCTATGAGAGAACGCACACCAAGGTTGCAGTGACGCGCGGCGACGCTGGACCGGGCGCCACGATTCAGTTTTGTTGAATCCAGACGCGGCGCCGTGGCTGAAACTGTCCCTCCAAGCACCCGTAGTTTTCTTCTTCTGCGCTTCTTATCACGTAGCTGTGAGCGCGGTCTCAAATTTACACACTTGTCGGCGCTATTGCTCAAGTAAACCGGTCACAATGGACGAGGAAAGCTTGATAACCCAAGTACAGCGTTACCCAGAGCTAGTTATTAGCCTGTTTAAAAAATGGGTCCAAATAGTCTTTTCTTGTAATATTTGCCAGCATAATTTCACGTAAATACTTTGTTTCCTCCCCCAAAATATTAGTAGAAACTTCCAAACGTCACTCACCCATTTCATCTGCGATCAGCTGGAAAAGGACGCTAGCCAAGGCGTTCCGGTGTAATTTGACACATGTCATGAACGCGCGTCAAATGACGCGCCGCGAGGCGCTGCGTTTCGGTGTGCGGTGAGCTTTACAGTCCACGGTCAATTAGACAGAGCGAAGGCCAATGCAGACGACAAATGTTATAGTCCATGGTTACAACTGACAGCCTGAAGGTCAATGCAGTGGGTAAATGTTCAGTCCATAGTAAAACGGACAGCCTGGAGGTCACTGCAGTGTGCAGAATGTTCAGCCATGAGTAAAACGGACAGCCAGAAGGCCAACACAGTGATTAAAATGTGCGGTCCATGGTGAAAACGGACGGTCTAAATACCAGTGCAGATGGTAAAATTAACAGCCTGAAGAGCAATGCATTGGGTAAAAACACAGCCTGCGAGCCAATTCGGCGGGATTAACTGACACGCCGCAGTTCAGTACAGTTCATGGTAGTGCGGAAAACAACGAAACCGACACTGTACCGTGAGTGGAGGCATGGAGAAGGGTGGACAGCGCAGGCAGACAACGGCAGGCAGACAGAAGTACCGTTCCCGGTATGGAAGCGGCAGGGTGCGCGGAGTAACGCCTGGCCGCGAGCAGCAGCGGCCACGGGGAGACGAGCGGCAGCGAGTCCGCAGGAGAGGACCCGCGGTGAGCCGCGGTGGAGACACAGCGACCATGGCGCACAGCCCCCAACATGTGATGTGGAAGAGGAGCCGCGACCATGCAGGACGAACAATGTGCGAGGCGTGAGTAAACAAAGTGACGAAGAGCAACCCGTTGCAGCTTGAAGTCCGTTTGGTGAGCTGTGCTCTGCTGTTCTCTTAAACGCTGGCTTGATTGACACGGCTGCGGGGAGTTGATTAAGACAGGCTGAGTAAGGCGTGGGCAAGCCTGGTGTGATAACGTAGGTAGTCTACCATCCTGAACCTCCGCTTCAGCTGCATTTGTGTCACACAGATACACACTCTCCGCAGGCACACTCCTTTTTGACCCTTCCTTTTTCGTTTTCATAGATAAAGTTCAGCATAACTACCAGTTACAACATGCAGACTACTCTATCGTCCACACTCCAGCTGCTGGTGTTGGAATGAACAAGGCTGACATTGTGTAAAATGGAATACTGGTCAAACAAAGCTCACTACTGTATATGATTTGTTCTAGGTTAACCCTCTATCACACCCAGACACCTTTTCGGCCTTTTTCCTTTTTAAAGAGAATGTCAGTTGCTTTTCAAATGGTGTTTTAAATGATTTTTTATTGAAAGACTTACAGTATATATTAGTCCAGTGTCCCATGATCAGAACAAATGCATTATTTTAATTTTTTTTAAATGTCAAAGGTGTGCATTCTGGTACTTTCTGATATAATCTGTCATCAAATTGAAGTTCATGACTCAAAAATAGTCTGTAAAAATACTCACTCACATCTTGTCATCCAAAGTAATCCAGTGACTTTCATTATAATGACATATCTTCAACCGGATTACAGAAAGTATAAAAAAGATATTCTTTTGATTTCTACACATAATGTTGGTTCTCAAAAAGGCAAGGCAAGGCAAGGCAAGGTAAGGCAAGTTTATTTGTATAGCACAATTCATACACAAGGCAACTCAAAGTGCTGAACAAAACAAGAAAGCATTAAAATCATAAATAATCACAGTACATTAAAACAAAATAAATAAAAAAAAAGAGAAAAATATAAAATCCCTCAGTTGTATGCACAGCTAAACAGAACCGTCTTTAACCTGGTTTTAAACATTGTCAGAGAGGAGGCCTGTCTCACCAAAAATGGAAATTGTTTCAGGATTGTTTTAAAAAATAAAATCAGTTTTCAATCCCAGAGCGTAGCAAGAATTATATAGCACATTGACAACACTCGTTTGTCAGTGTTCCTCAACCCAAACCTTTTTAGTGGAAACGATCACAAGGCACATGGCCCACCACCGGCTGCAACTAAATACACACATGACTCTGTATTAACAAAGTCATTCTCATCAACAGTCTTTCTAATCTGATCGCCAAACAACATCTCAACTGACACTGACGCTACACGGCACACTGGGTGTGAATGCAATTGTATTATATTTGGAGCATTTTTTTTCTATTTCAATCATTGTGTATTACTTTTTGAGATTTACCAATAATTCTTTTTTTTTTTTTGGCTCCAGAAGTAAAACGGTCCATTGATTTGAATGTAATTTTGATAACAGAACTCTGAAACCAACAATGGCCGCTGCCAATGGCACCGCAATTAGTGCCTAGTCACGCTAGCTCTGTTAATGGTGAATACATTATACTTATAGATTCTTAACACACGCGCACTAAGGTTTTCAGAATAATATCTTTCATGACAGAAATACTGCTTTAATGCGACAAAATGCGTAAGTAACTATTAACATTAATAGAACAGTTTAGGACACATTTGCAGAGGATCTGATTATGGATTTAGGTTAAGTTTATATTTGGGTCACTCAAAGCTGAAGTTCAGAATTCTTTGTTCAGTTTTCATGCAGTTAGAAAACCAGACAGAGTTTGAGACTTCTAGTCGAGCTCAGCCACGGCACGTTGCCAACGAGAAAATCTTTGCGTTGGGGGCCAGTTCGCCCTGTCAGTACTTATTTTCCGATATATACATACGCATACACATATACATTATCCCTTAAATAGTTTGACATATTAACAATATCCTCACAGCACGTTAACAGCTGTCCCAAACCATGCATCTACTGTACGTCATACCTTTCATGTCTTCACAATAACCCTGGAGTCTGCACCTTCTCAACAGATCAGCTCGCTCTGTGCATATTCCATTTCTCCTGCATTAATGTGAAGAATCTGTCCTGGGTAGCTCTTTTTTATTCATGCACTATTGTTCGCGTGACATTGAAGTGCTCAACAGTAGACAGGCCTTCTAAGCCAGCAATACAAATGTTCAAGTCGTCCATGACCCTCTTCACCGCTACTCGAACCTTGTGCTCAGAGAATCAGCATGTGAAAGAACTCTTCAAAGAAAACAGAGACGGTGCATGGACAGAAACATGCTTTTTAAGTGTGTGTGTGTGTGTGTGAGTGTTTGAGGCAGGGAAAATCTTAATATCAAACATATTGATGCCCCAGTGGAGGATGGAGCTGAGCACAGGACACGGGCTGGTCTGAGGGCCATCTTGGACAATGCCTCTCACCCTCTACATGGGGCCTTCACTCTTTTTTGATGTTGACGATATTTTCATTTATTGTTTGAAGGTTTGACTAATGTGGAGCATGCAGGCATTGTCTGTCGATCTATCTATCTATCCACTTGGAGGCAACGAGACAGCTATGACTATATCAATGTCGTCTCAGAGGACTTCACAACGTTGTCAATTCGCAAACAACAAGATGAGAGAAAAAAACAGTTCAAAAACAGAAGATGCAATAATAAACACGTAGGAGATCATTACTGTCCGTAGGCCCTACTGTATCGGCAAAGAATGAAAATAAAAAAGAAAGAAAAGTGAAAAACCTTTGAGGCCCATATTCAGAGAGGGATCAGCTCCCACAGATGGACGAGCTCAGGCTGTAGAATCAGGACTGAGACTACATTTCACAGCGTCTACTCGAGCCGCAACCCTCCTCCTCCCCACAATCACCTCAATAGTAAGACTTTTTCAATATCATTGGCTCATCACTCAGCTTTCACCACAACTGTATGTAGGGGAATTTAATTTTCATATCTCTACTTGAATTCGCCAAACCATATCCCAACATATACCAACATACAAATCATTCTACAACATGACGGTCGAGACTGATCTGTTCACATAAACCTTGACAGAACTACTATTTCTAATCTTTTGAGTGGTGTACTTTGGTAGTGTACATTTAAAATCCTGCTTCTCAAAATAATCTTAATCTATTCAAATAAGTACATTTAAAATCCTGCTTCTCAAAAAAATCTTAATCTATTCAAATAAACGTATTCACTCTATTCAAATGTGTATCTATTCAAAAGAACATGTTTTTGTGCGGGTAATTTAGGTTTGGTTTAGTTTCTTTCTGTCATTTTGCATCACATCTATCTTTCCACCCAGCTGTGAGAATTTTACCAAAAGTAGGTATTCTGCCAAGCGGTTAGTGCCATTTTCCCAAACAGGTCGTAGTGGTTGCGTCTCCTTATGTTCCTGTCGACGGTGCTTTTTGCTCTGTGATTGTGGCATGAAAATGAGCCTCTAAGTTCACTTCACTGAGCGTTTACTAAGACAGACATTCCCCGGCACACATCGCAGCCTGCCAAACGCTGTGACACTCTTCATGGCTGCTCTGGAGTTCATTTGAAGGAATGAGGGTTGTTCCTCTTTTAGCTACCCTCTTTCACATGCTTTGAATGTGTTTGTGAGTGTGAATGAGTGTCACATGGGAAAAAAGGTTTGACCAGGTTTACAAAGAGACCACTGAATTATGAGGTAAAAGCAGTTTAAAATTATGTAATAAAATCCATAAAAAATAAAATAAAAAACAGGGTTGTAAAAGAAGGCTAAAATAGAGGGTTAAACTATAAGGTTGAAATACAAGCTAAAACAGAGGCTAAAACAAGGCACTGCTGCTTGGTCCTTCTACCCTGGGTTCGGCGTGCCGCTCCAGACCACAGGGCTTTTGCCTCCCCTGTGTCTGCCCCCTCTGTGCCACGCTCGCTTCCCTCTCCCCATCCCCGCCTTTTGTACCCAAGGCACAGGTGTTTCAATTGTCCGGTCAAAAAAAGAAAAGAAAAAAAAAACACAGACAACATACATAAAAGTACTGTCAATCAAACCTTATTTACCCCATTTCATTATGCACCCACCGACAAGAGGACACAATATTTACAGTCTATTTCACAATTCTCCAGCTTATTACTCCACCAGGGGTCATTTTTTCATCAAAGTTGTTAAGATTGTTTGTTGAAGCGAAGGAAACTCCAATTTACTTACGGTATACTTTTCTCCGAGAGGCGCCTACACAAGATTGTGTGTGCACTTCCCTGGGGTATTTGTTGTGGGAAGGTTTCTGTGTTTGAACAAAGTTGTAGATGACCACAATTTTGCTGATGGTGCGTTTTATAATGCAACCAAGTGAACAAGTCATTTTCCAATGTTGCTTCTTTTTTTTTTTCAAAACTAAAAACAGAAAAATATCTGAAACATACACAGTGTACTTTCTCATAATAAATATAGCTATGTTCCTGTCAGAGTGGGCGCTCTGACGTGATTAGAACTCAGGGAACTCAGAGGGAATGGTAATACACCAGCATCGTAAAGCGCTTTGTGAGACAGAGGTGCTATAAACAAAGATTACCTACTTACTTACTTACTAGAACTATCAAGTTAAATAGACTGGGGCAGTTTCTTTGGTGTCCATTAGAGGTGACAAAAGTACTAGCCTTTGGTGTTAAAGTGGACTCTGATGCACTAACCAACGTCACTGCGCTCAGTTTACTTCTTTTGAACCAGATCAGTGGAAACATTAGTTCTGAAGTGAAC